CTTGGGTATATATCTGGAAAAGACGAAAATTCTAATTTGAAAAGATATGTGCACCCCAATGTTCATAACAGCACTATTTATAATAGTCAAGACACAAAGCAACCTAAATGTCCATCAACAGATGAATGAATAAAGAAGATGTGGTGTAATATATTATGGAATATTACTCAGCCATAAAAAAGAATGAAATAATGCCATTTGCAGCAACATGGATGGACCTAGAGATGATCATGCTAAGTGAAGTAAGACAGAGAAAGACAAATATCATATGATATCATTTATATGTGGAATTTTAAAAAGGATACAAATAAACTTACTTACAAAACAAAAATAGACTCACAAACGTAGGAAACAAACTTAAGATGACCAAAGGGGAAGTGGGGGGAGGGATAAATTGGGAATTCAGGATTAACAGATACACACTACTATATAAAGAGTAGACAAACAATAAGGACCTACTGTATAGCACAGGAAACTACATTTAATATCTTGTAATAACCTATCATGGAAAAGAATCTAAAAAAGATATTATATATATATATATATATATATATATATATATATGAATCACTTTGCTGTACAACTGAAACATTGTAAATCGATTATACTTCAATAAAAAAAAATTACTTGTTCCTTTCAGGCTTGATAACCCTGACCTTTAAAACCTTTAGTGAGGGTGATAAACAGTATGAATGAAATGGTCTCTTTCTCTACTTCCTTCCATGGTTATTGGTACTCAAGGTTTTTACCACTTTGGGGACCTATTTTGGGAATTAACTACCCTCCCCAAAGTATTCATTTAATCTAGAAAACTATGCTGATATATTCTTGCACAAAGTAATCTCATCATTTAAAAAGTCTTCTCAATTTATGGTCCTTTTAAAAATCTTAACATTGTTGATGTTGTCTCTATTTTTCCTTGAATACAATTGCCAGAAGTTTAACACTTTTATCTTCCTTTGGTTTTATTGATCATATATTTTCTAAACTTTCTTTTCCTTTTCATTTATTTCTTTCACTTGTATATTCCTCTGGTTGACTCTTATTTGGTTTTCTCTTAGAGCAAGCCATAGTTATGGAGGTGACCATACAGGTTTATCCTGTGTCTGAGAGACCCTTTCATACAGGACTATGATTTAACAGGGCACATGGCTGCCCAGCTAGAGACTGTATTCCCCAGCTTTGTCTACAGTTCAGTGTGGCTGACATAGTCTGAGGAAAAGTGAAGTGAGCTTCTGCCTACCTTCTACTTTCCCTTTTTCTTCTCTTCTTCCCATTCTCTATATCCCAACCCTCCAGGACTTCTTTGAGTTCTTCCAAGACACTGAGCTCCCTTCTGACCAAGGTTCTCACACCTTTTATTTGCTCTCAGGAATGTTCTTCCCTTTGCCACCCCTCATTTTATTAATAACTCTTCCTCCTTCAGGTTTTAACCCTGAGTCATTCATCTTAAGCAATTGATGCCTCACCCTAACCACCCCGTCTCTAAGGAATCTGGTCAGGTCCCACTGCTACATGGTCCAATTCCACTTTAGTCTTGTCCGTTATTTGTTGTGAAATATTTTTTACATTCAAAAATATAATATCTGTAATACATATAATATGAAAATATTTTTAAAAATCCCCATACACCCCAAATCCAGTTTAACAAAACATAATTTTACTAATTCCATTTAGTAAGGCACATGGTAACCCAGCTAGAGACTACATTTTCCAGTCTCTGCAATTTGCTGTAGTCATATGATTATGGGTAGTTTTGTAGCACATACATTTCCCTAGATGGTATATTACTTAGTTTTGTATATTACTTAGTTTTGCATGTGTGTGAATATTATAAAAATGTTGCCATGTTGTCAGCGCTCATCTTTATTGCTTTTGTACTTAGCATTGTGTTTTTGACATCTTTCTGTGCCAACAGGTAGGGGCACCATTTCATTCATTTTCCAATTATTCTCACTAAGTCTAGTTTAATGGAATTTTAACATCCTATGTCATAACTATACAACCATTTATGCATTTCTTTTTTGTTTATGGACATTTGGCTTGTTTCTAGTTATACACACAAACACACTTGTGTTTCAAATGTATTTCATATGTATATTTTATGTGTTTGTATTTATATGAAAATTATGAGTTTCACTGTCAAGACTATTTTTTTATTTAAGTGAGTTGTTCCCAATGCTATTTTTGATTTTTTTTTTTTTTTTTTTTTCATTTGGGAGCTACCAACCCAGGACCATTTTAAATTCATTCCTTTGCCTGGGAGATTTTCGATCACCTAAGTGGAATGATTTTCAATCCCAATCTTGCATGAGGGTTAAATCATGATGAAAACTTTTCAAGGAAACCTTTTCTTTTTCCCTTCCACTTAGAGCCAAGACCAAGACACATACATTTCTCTGATATTTCCCTTTGAGGGATTATTTTTTAAGATTATAAAAGTCCTGTTGTTTGATTTGGAATATCTCACCCATAATTAGATTTCTCCACAGAGAAGGGATTTGGCTTATTGACTGTCATAAATCTCTGATCTGGTCCACTTTGTAGTTAGCATTGTAATTCCATCCGTCATTTTCATACCGACGGACATGGCATAAGCAGCCTGCTGGCCTTTCCTACCACATTCCTGTAGACACTATCTTAAAACTCTGGCAATTTTCCAATTTAAATATATGTAAAAATTACACCCTGATCGATTAATTATTACATTTTCAGATGCTACTTATAAGACTTCTATGCAGACCAAAAAAACTTAACACATGAAGACGTAACCTTAACGTTTAGTAATACAATAAAATGTGCTTTGTTCAATCGAGTTTCCAAAAAAAAGTACCCCTTTTGATCTTCTACGTTGTGTTTTTTTGTTAATCTGTTTTTATTGATTCAGGTCTATAGTAATATATTCTATTTTAAATATTCTTTCAAAGTTTGAAGCAAAAGGTGAGCAATGAAAAAACATGTAATATCAGATTAGACTTTTGCCATGAATAAAAGCATCCTATTTTCCGGTCATTAAAAACATCCCAGTGTGGACTGAGAATGGGGGGCGGGAATTAAAGGCCTTGAAACACCTGGAGATCAGGCTGAGAGGGGCACTGATTATGACACATTCATCTATGTGACACTTAACACCAAGCAGCATTTGAACATTGATTTAAGTCATTAAAGGACTTGGGCTACATGTGGAAGTAGAGAATTTAGACCAATCTGGCTTCACAGACTGGCTCTACTCCTAATTAGCCATGTGGTCATGTGACACGATATTAGACCTTTCAGTTTTCTCCTCTGTACATGGAGGATAATAATGCTTATCTCACCGAGTATTTATGAAGATTAATTGAAATCGGTTAATACTGAGGATCTAGAACAGGGCCTGGCACACACTGGCCATCAATAATAGTTACATGGCTTCCCCAATGTAGCAACCAAACCAAATCATTTTTATGAAGAAGAATCAAACAGCCTTCAAAGTGCTACAGAGGCTTGGTGATAAAGCTTAGATAAAAAGTTTTTAATTTTTGAATTTACGATTATTGTCATATATATAGAATTTATTAAGCATAAAATTGTATGTTCACCAACTGACCAAATAAACACAAATGTTTCTTCATTTCATAGAGTTAATTTATATATTTCTCTTTGGCAGTAGGCCTTTGGAAAGAAAATAAAATAGCCGAATTCTTACCTAATTTTACTAAAATAGAGTCCAATTGGATTAAAAATTTAAATGTTTAAAATTAAAAAATGAAGACATAAACATGTTGGAAGAAAGCAGACATAGATTTTTTAAAAATAATTTTTGAGTGAAGACAATTTGGTTATGCAGGACATAAAGTCTAGACACCAAAAATTTATAGATGATAAGTCTGACAACATAAAAAGTGTAAAATTTTTATACAGCATAAATAAAAATCCAAGGTCAAGTAACAAAAGGGGATCATTGTCAACAGCATGTGTGATAAGAAAATGGTAACTAATATACAAAGAGCTCGTGCAAATAAATAGAAAGTACCAACTTAATTTCAAAATTGACAAAAATAATATGAATAGACTTCATAAGAATAAATGCAATTGGACAATAATATTTAAGTGAATGTTTATCCACACTGATCATTTTAAAAATGCAACTTCAAATAATGTTATGGCATCTTTCAGCTATTAAAATGTTAGGCTACTCTTATTTTATATTTCATAATTTTGATGTCTGTGGTAAAGCAGACACATCCACTCAATGTTGCTGGGAGTGTAAGTTGCTGGAATTAAATTCGGAATATGTATACCAAAATTTGTAATGTACATATCCACTCCTAGTAATTTATTTACTGAATATCTTGGCATACCAATGCACAGCTCTATGCATTTAAGAATTTTCATTGCAGGATTATCTACACAGATTTTTTAAAACTCCTGGACAAACTAAATGTTCATGATAGGGAAATAGTAAAGGAAATAAGACTAGTTATATCCTTAACGTGGTACACTCTTAGCTGTAAAAAAGAATGGCAGAGAACTATAATGGGCAAATTAGAAATGATTTACATTACTTTGATGTGGAAAAAGTAAAATATAAATAGTTTTTATTGCAAACTTCCATTTATGCAAAGAAATAAATATAAATGTGGATATAGCATATGTATTAGATATTTTTCTGGAAAAAATTGAGAAAAAAAGTTGAAAGTAGAATTAGGGATATGAACGTGGAACAGCAGGAAGGAAGGAGTAAGAGTTTTTTGCTTAATGCTTTCCTGAACTGTTTGAAAGTTTCTCTGTGCTCTTGTATGTTTTATTTTAATTTTTAAAAATAATGATGTTAATATGATGATAAAAATAAATAAATTGTAAGGAACTAAAATTCCATTAAATGTCATCAGGAGCCAGCAAATAATTTTAGGTGTTGAAAAACATGTACTGTGTGCTCTTAAGAAGGAACTGCCAAAATGACATTCTTGGGGTCAAATGATACATTCATTGATGCTTAATGAGTTTTATTTTCCCCCCAGACAAAGCCAAAGGGAGATCAAGAACAGGGACCCACTTTGATTCAGCCCGGAGACGGAGCCGAGCGGTCCTTTATCACATCTCTGGCCACCTGCAAAGAAGAGAAAAGAACAAATTGAAAATAAATAATGTAGGTGGTGTGTGTGTACACAGTGAATGCTAGACTTTCCCTTGGTGGCAGTGTTTGATTCACAAAAGAAAGCCTCCAATTATGCATTTATTGGCTTTGCTAGATTTTTTTTCCACTTTGGCTTGTGCTTTCCTATGAAAAACAAACTGGAAAAAGTCAGCAGTCACGAGTCATTTCTGTAATAAAAATGATTAATCATAGTGTTATCACAGCATAGAATATTATTTCAGTACAATATGGTACTAGGGACACTGCAAATGCGACTGGTTACATTTTATGAACAAGTTATATTACACATCCATAGTTTGTTGGTTAAAATTTCTCAAATTTAATTTTAGCTCCATCTGTTTTGCACTTTATCTAATTTCACTGAATGCTTTCATCCAGGGGGGCCATGAACAAATCAAAGTCATTACTTTATTTGGAAAATTTACATTTTATGCAACACAGAGTTGGAAATTTCACACCTTGGAACTGGGTTTGAAGTGACATGCCATATATTATATGGGTTTTTTTAAAGTCGCACTCTTAGTAAATTATGGTAGGGCTCCTCTCTGAAACCTGGTGGTTATCTGTCAACTGTGCCTGTAAAAGGTGACTCTGTAGAGTTTTAAGTGACACACGCCCTCCAGGATTTCACAGCTAATTTTATCATTGGTTCTGAGAACTAAGAGGCTTCACTCGGAGATCCAGAACTCTGTCTGTTTGGTTGTAGATATTCAACGATGATTTTTCAAATGATGGTAGTGTCATTAATCTGCCTTGCGGAATCTCCAGAACACAGAACTTTGGGGGTATGTGTGACTATGGGCAACAGACATCGAGACTCAGGGTCTAACTTGCCAATGACTTTAGAAAAAGTCATATCAAACAACCATTGCTGTTTTGGAATTGATCTCAGATCCCGAGATTCTGGGAGTAAAGGACACAGGAGAGTCTTTGGCATCTCATTGTACACGGAGAGCTTGAGACTACCTAATCTGACATTCGGATGCTTTGCTAAAGCAGTCATGCATCAGAAACACAAAGTATCCGCTTACCTGATTTTAGTGAGCAAAGATGCACCAGCCCAGGTGTAGAGCACGATCTCACATGAAAGGGCTGCCAACCTGGTTTTGCTTCAGTGTGATTCCCCTCTGGTCACATTGGTTTCCTGAGAGTCCAGGGATAGACTTCAAACCATGCACACCGCTAGATCTCTGAATCCTTCCCCTGGTTCCTCATTATACCTGCCTTCAGTTACCAAGTCAGCCTTAGTAACAGTAAACAAGTTCTAGGAAGAAACAAAGGTAACCACACCTGGGGTTGATTCTATGCAAGCCAGCCAGCAAAACACCTAAACAAATATTAGCCTGAGATTCTGTAATGCTGAAAGATGACACTCTTCTAGCATTTAGTCCAGAGTCATTTAAATGTACCAAGTATTAGTGAGCTTAAAAATGCATTCACAGAACATGCTGTTTTTCCCCTTTTGATTCAATAAAGTACAGACAGTACTTAAAAATCTTATTTAAAAAATCATAACTCCCACCCCTTGGCTAATTTGCTAAATTGCATTTATTTAAGAAGTAGAAATATCAGGGTGGAGCATTAAAATAATACATGGTAAGGAAAGGTGTCAAATCAGCACAGTGAATCTGACAATACAGGTAACATTTCTGAAAAGGAAATGTGGAATCAGGACTGGCCTTATTCACCATCTCTTTTCAAGGAGAACAGGGCAGAATGACTAAAAGACAACAGAAAGAGAGAAGAGGGAAGAGGAAACAATGATCTGAATGGTTTACTGGCTAGACAATCAGTCTTTGGGGAATCCTGGATATATTAACATTCATGTGCCCCAAAAAAAGACTTCTTAATGTTTTTGTAGCTCTTTGCTATTTACAAATTCTTTTTGCTGTTATCATATCATGTGATCCTTACAGCAAGCCATTACTAGATACGATTTTTATTCGTTCCAATTTAAAGATGGAAAAGAACAACTTATTTGAGATCTCAAAAGTAGAACCAGGAGATGTGGGACCCATCCATGAATCTTCTGACTCAAAGCCACGGTGCTTCTGCCCCTACCTTGCTGCTTCTCTCATACAGTTCTGTGGAATAGGAATGTATGATTCAACTCAGAACAAATTAGCCCATCAGGCCATTAGCAAGCTCTGAGAATCAGGATGTAACACCCTTTAATCCTGGCTCTAACTTTGCCACATGGTACCTCTTGGAAAAGGTTTTTAATTTCTGGTTTCCTTGATTTGTTACTCTATTACATGACATTGGGGTGATGCAAATGTCTTCAACCCAAAGATCACATGGGAGCCTTGGGAGCTTGAAGGGACAGTGCTTTAGATGCCCACATATTACCAACAGGGTACCGGGCTGGTAGTCATCGAAGGCATATGCTACCTTGCAAATTACTCAGCGTAATGACTGTAGAAACATCTTCCCATCCCTTTGTTCATTTGGATGTTAATTTCAAAGACATGTTGCAAAAATAGTTTAGGAAACAGTTACCTTGATTAGGCTTTGGCCTTAACTACTCAGTGTCAGTAATACATAGGGTAGAGGTTAAACTACTCAAACACCATTGGTACTAAACAATAGGCTTGAAAATGAATAAATAATATATATAACTAACATCAAGGATAGTTGGTTGTATTATTCTTTAGGCAAACTTCATAGGTTTCAGGGTTATAAATAATATGTCTTTTCCCCCTTACTTGCTAAAAGCACACTTTCCAATTGTTAGAAATTTTCTTCCATTCAAAAGGGTTTTGATAAAACTTTACAAATAGAGAAGCAGGAGGAGAAGGACATCTCTTTTCTTCACTCAGGTGATTGTGTCAGGATGTATGCAGAATTTGAATGAAAAACCTTTTAAAATTTAAGTCTAATCTGAGATGTATTGGATTCTCAGTATATTTTAAAATAACTTAAATCCTATATTTTAAGTAGCCTATAAAAATGAAATAGTGTGATATATTTTCTGATTTGTGGAGATAACTATTACATTGCTGACCTTTTTCATCAGCATCACTAATGCTTCGTAGAATCAACATAATTCAATAAAAAAATACTTTACTTCTTGAGTTTGCCCAACCTTCACTCCTAGAGCTGGCTTCTCCCTCAAATAAAGTAAACATTTCATTTCTGTAACATGATAGAAAAAGACTTATTTGGATAAAAATTGAGATATTCTTCCATGGCTTTTAGTTATGTGTTATCGCAGTAAATATTTGAAAAAAAATCGTATTGGAATCCATCATGTCCTATTGTAAGTAGAAGTGCTTGTCAACCTTGAGATTTATACTTATGGACCCCAACTCTCTCTTCTCCGATGCACCAGCCTCAGCTTTGATGAGAGGCCCAACAGGGGTTACTTTCTTCTTCCATCCTCAGTTTTATGTCATAATCCACCTTTGGAACCTGTTCCTAGAAACCAGAGAATGAGGCAAAGGAGGCAGGTCACGTCAGGGAGTTGAATGGAGCATAGACACGGTGACAGATGGGCATCAAAGAACCATCTGGAAGGAGTGAAGCAGGCCCTCCCTCACCACAAAATCCTGCCTTTATGAGGTGCCCTGTGGGATGAGTGAGATTATAAACAGGAAGTAGCAACGTGTGTTGTAAATGCCTACCAAGGAGAGATGCAGGATAGGAGAGGCATTCATATTAAGGGAGCAGAAATATTTGGGCACTGAGGGTCTCCACTAAAGAGCTTGTGCTCCTGATTCCAAGTACTTTAGGAATCCCTGGACATACCACATTAATTTGCCCTTCCTTCAGTGCCGGAAACAAGAAAACACACTGCGACCTGCAAGTAACAGGTATTCAAGAACTTTGAACTGTTCTGTTCATTCAACGTAACTTTCAAATTTAAGTTTCCATTACCTATCTTGTATCTCTCATTAATTGAGGTCAAAGCAAGGTCTGCAAGTATCTGGTCATAGGCTGTCAAATTGCCACACACGCTATTGTTGGGCCTCCCTTTGTCTCACAGCAATAAAGAGAATTGTTCCTCAATTTGGACTGCTTTCAAAGTGAAGTGCTTTTGCAGTTATAAAAACTCCAGCTATTCTGCATTTAATCAGCTGCACAGTGAACATTGCCTTTCTCCTCCCATGACTTGAATAATAACTGTTAAGTAACTGTTTCTTGCTTTGCCCTCTTAACAAGGGCTAGCCAGTGCCAGACTAAATCTATGTCCATCAAGGTTATGAGATTTGGGTTCCCAGCTGGAAACTTCACCAACAACCATAATACAAAATGCAAGTAGTCAGCACAACCTGCTTATAGTTTGAAAGACATGTTAACAGCTATTTACAATTGAATTGATCATATAGCTCTAACCTTTTGAGAAAAAAAAATGGTACCTTTGCTGCTATTAGAAGTATTTCAGGCCCCAAATATTCTTTAGATAATGACTGTCATCTCAAAACTATAAGTATATGGAATGTCCCCATGACAGTAGGAACATAACTGTATCTTTGTGTTTATAATGTATGTAGGCTTATACTTGCAACTTTGGATGTTTCTAGGTGACATTTTAGGTAGCGATCTTTTTATTCTTCATGAACAAAATCTGGATTAGTCACTTATTAACACTGGTGACTACACTCTGCATATTCCTGTCACTTATAACAAAGATCTCTGCCCGATTTTAACATACTTAAAAGTCTACTTTTTGCATCACCAACTTCTAAAAGTCACTTGTAAGATGTATTGACATTGTTGGGAGATTGGGATTGACATATATGCACTAATAAGTATAAAATGGATAACTAATAAGAACCTGCTGTATAAAAAAATAAATAAAATTCAAAAAAAAAATAAAGATGTATTGACATTGTATGTATAAATAATTCTCCCCATGTGTTTAAGGCTGTGTGTTCCTTATTTCTAATGTTGTGTTTCTCCCTTCTCTCCTTTTTGTCTTTATCCACAGAATGTTTTTGTAGATAAACCAGCATTTCCGGAGTATAAAGTTTCTGATGCAAAAAAGTCCAAATTCATACTTTTGCATTTCAGCACTTTCAAAGCCGGCTGGGACTGGCTTATTCTATTGGCGACGTTTTATGTTGCCGTGACCGTACCTTACAACGTTTGCTTTATTGGCAATGATGACCTATCGACAACTCGGAGCACAACAGTCAGTGACATTGCAGTGGAGATTCTTTTTATTATAGGTAAGAACCCACGGCTGTTTTCCTAGGAGATTTGCATAGGGGAAGTAAGTGTGTTCCAGATTTTTCTAACATGAATTTGAACTAAGATCCATTTGCATGGGCATGACTCAGCCTCTTATGCAAATTTTGGAGAAGCACATATTTGGATTTCTGAAAATTGCCTCTTCCAGCTTTCTTACTTTGTTCAAACAGATCTAAACTGATGTTTTTTGTTTCTATCCTTATTTCATCAAAAGTGGGTTGAAAAAGACAATGGCTGTTTTGTTTGTACTCTCAACTTCTATTATGATCTTACCTGTACAGGGTCAGAGATGAGGGTTGGCAAGAACCTATCAGTGGTGTTCTGATAATGGTCCCGTCTTGGGCATGTTTCTTCATGCCCGTCGTGCTTTTCCGGCGGTTGATGGTGGTTGCCATAGGTGGCCTAGTTGCAGAAGCAACGGATTACATAAACCTTCTAGTCAATCAGGAGAAACCCTGAGTATCTGATTTTAACGAAAGGAGAGGCCCCAAGGGATGTTTGCTAAGAATATTTATCTCTAGAATATTTGGAATCTCAGTTGAAGCTGCATCTGCTCCATGCTTGTAAGTCTTCTATTTTCCTGTCTCTTAAAGCATCGTCTTGTTTAGACCAAAGCCGAGCTCTTGCTTGCTCATTCTAGTTCTCCATGAAAGCGCAGATTGACCCCCATGTGGAGTTCCTGACCACCATTAGCAATCTGATTCCTGCGTCTTTACCTGGTCATGGCGATGTAGGATAACATCCTTTTCGTAAAGATGAGAGAATGTTTGGAGAATGTTTTCAAGCAGTAGGTGAACAAGGGAATGAAAAAATGGACCCTAAAAGTTCAAAGAAAAGGAAATAAATAAGTGAGGCAGATCAAAAGATTGTTTCAATGGCAGTAATACTTTTTCTCTGTGGAGCTGGTACAACTTTGGATTCTCCAACTGAAGGTCTCACGTGTTTGCTCTGGAAGAGTTTGTATGTTCTTGATGTGACTTTGGCATCACTGTTAACATTGCACTTCCTGGACACACCCCTCAGACCTATGCTAGGACCCCAACTCCCACCCCAAAGGTGATGGCTGTAGTATGTTTAGGCCACTAGATGGCAATGTTGTCTAGTTAGGTAGCTTGGTAAGGCTGCAAACTCAAGGAAACTTATCTTTAACCTTTTTTTTAACTTAAACTATTCTTTATTGGAAAAGTATAACCATAAGGGATATTAAATCACAGTTAAATGGCAAGTAACAACATTCCAGTTTGAAAAAGAATTTAAAATGAAAACTGTACAAGAGACCTTTCAAGATGGCAGTGTAGGAAAAGCCTGAACTCACCTCCTCCCATGGAAACAGCAAATACACAGCTGTATATGGAACAATTTTCTCTGAAAAAGACCTGAAAACTAGCTGAACAGATCCTTCACAACAAAGGATAAAAGGACCACGTGAAGAAGGTAGGAGAGGCAAAGATTCGGTCTCACCAAAAACCCGACTACTTGTGTGGCAACCCACGACTGGAAGGATCTCACACGTGTGGAATTTCTTCCTGAGGAGTGAGGGGGTTCATGCCCAACATCAGGACCCCAACCCTTGAGACCTGCACCTGAGAGACAAGCCCTTCAAACATCTGACTTTGAAAGCCAATGGGGCTTACATCCAGAAGTATCCAAGGGCTGTAGGGAACAGAGATTCCACTCTTAAAGGGCTCACTCACAGACTTACTCACCCTGGGACCAAGTGTGCAAGCAGCAGTTTGAAAAGTGCCTAGACCATATGTGAAGGAGATGTGTTAGGTAATATTAACGTGTCTGCTGGAGGGGCAGAAGCTGGTGGGGGCTCTCTCCAGAGACTGAAGGGCTAGTGGGTGCCAGTTTTGTGCTCCTTCTATGTAGCTAGTGTTGATGGGCATACCCCACCCCACTAAAGCCACTGGTGCCTACTCCTTGATAGCCTGGCTCTGGTGGCCAGGGAAACTTGTGTTTCTGGGCCCCATGGGGCTGAAACAACCAGAGAGGCAGTTCTCGGCAGGCCGTCACCCCTAGGGCATAGCACAGACAGCACACTGAACACGCTCCAGATCTTCCTGTGAAGAAAGGTCTATTTTCTTGTCCTAGAGCTTCAGCCTGAAGAGCAGGCTTCAGGTTTACTACACATCTAGGAACTAAGAAGGTGCCCTCAGGGAACACAAGCTGGGGATGCCTTCTCTGTGCTCTTCCTTGGCCATACTACAGCTCAAAGAGCTTATAGACTCACCTGGAACCCTGATTTTTGCAATTGTCACCAGGGGGTCACCTCCAAATTGCCTGGTCTACAGGCCAGTAGGGTTTACAACTGAAGTCTCAGAGGACTGTATATATTTGCATACTTTAAAAGCTGCTGCCTGAGGATCTGACTTCCGATCAGCCTGAAACTAGGTACTGACTGAGATCCTCCCTTTGGAACATTGACAGCTATTGGCACACCCTCAACAACTGGGGTCTATCAAGAGCCAATCAGGCTGCTTAGACAATCACAAAGGCTCGAGAGACAACCAAGAGCCAGGGCAAGGTTGAACAACAAGGTTCATCTCCTACAAAGGCCTCTCCTTCAGGACTGAAAGGAGAATGCATAGAAACAAACACAGAGAGTCAGGCAAAATGAGGAAACAGGAATATGTTCCAAACGAAAGAACAAGATAAAAACCCAGGGAAAAAAAAAAACCTTAGTGAAATAGAAATAGTAATCAACTAGGTCAAGGGTTCAAAAGAATGGTCATGAAGATCCTCACCAAACTCAGAAAAGAATGGATAAACATAGTGAGAACTTTAACAGAGATAGAAAATGTAAGAAGGCACATGACTGAAGAATATAATAGTTGAACTGGAAAATACACTAGAGGGATTCAACAGCAGACTAATTGAAGCAGGAGAAAGAATCAGTGATCTGGAAGACAGGGTAGTGGAACTCACCCAAAGAGAAGAGCAAAAAAGAAAAAAAAAAAAAAAAGAATTGCAGCACTATTTACAATAGCCAGGACATGGAAGCAACCTAAATGTCCATCAACAGATGAACAGATAAAGAAGATGTGGTACATATATACAATGGAATATTACTCAGCCATAAAAAGGAATGAAATTGGGTCATTTGTAGAGATGTGGATGGACCTAGAGTCTGTCATACAGAATGATGTAAGTCAGAAAGAAAAACAAATATCATATATTAGCACATATATGTGGAATCTAGAAAAATGGTACAGATGAACCTATTTGCAGGGCAGGAGTAGAGATGCAGACATAGAAAACGAACATGTGGACATGGGGGGAAGGGGAGTGGGACGAATTGGGAGATTAGGATTGGTAGTATATACACACTACCATGTGTAAAATTGATAGCTAGTAGAAACCTGCTGTATAGCCCAGGGAGCTCAGCTCGGTACTCTGTGATGACCTAGATGGGTGGGATGGGGGGGTTGGGCGGGGAGCTCCAAGAGGGAGGGGATATAGGTATACATATAGCTGATTCACTTCATTATACAGCAGAAATTAACACAACACTGTAAAGCAACTATACCTAAATAAATAAATAAATAAGTGGAAATAGCTTAAACGATCTGTGGGACAACATCAAGCAAAATAACATTTGCATTATAGAGGGTTCAGAAGGAGAAGAAAAAGAGAAAGGGGCAAAAAACTTATTTGAAGAAATAATGGCGAAAAACTTTATTAACTGGGGAAGGAAACAGACATCCATATTCAGATCCAGAGAATTCCAAAAAGATGAACCCCAAAAGATCCATACCAAGGCACATTATAATTAAAATGTCAAAAGTTAAAGAGAGAATGTTAAAAGCAGCAAGAGTAAAATGACGTGTGCACATGGTGCACAGCCCCATAAGATTATAAGCAGATTTTTCAGGAGAAACTTCGCAGGCCAGAGGGGAGTAGCACAATATACTCAAAGTGCTGAAAGGGGAAAACTTCCAACCAAGAGTAATCTACCCAGTGAGACTGTCATCCAGAATCGAAGGAGAGAAAAACCATTTTCCAGACAAGCACAAGCTAAAGTTCACACCACTAAAATGACTTTATAAGAAATGTTAAAGGGACCTCTAAAGGTACTAATTAGTAACCAAAAAAATGAAAGTAAAAATTTTATCAGTAAAGGTAAATATTTATAGTAAAGGTAGTATTTAGGCATTTATAAAGCTGTTATGAAGGTTAAAAGATAAAAGTAGTAAAAGTAGCTGTATGTACAATAATTAAGGAATACACAAAATAAAAAGATGTAAATTATGACATCAAAAAGAGAAAACATGGAGGGGTAGTAAAAATATAGAGTTTTAGAATGTACTCAAACTTACCTTGCTATCAACTTAAAATAGGCTGTTATTTATATATAGGCTGTCATATGTGAGTATTGTGGTAATAACAAAGCAAAAGCCTGTAGTAGATACCCAATAGATAATGAGAAAGGAATCTAACCATAACAGCAAAGAAAACCACCAAAGCACATGGGAGGAGAGCAAGAGAAGAAGAAAAAAACAGAGAAGAACTACAAAACAGTCAAAAATCAATTAACAAAACAGCAATAAGTACATACCTGTCAATAATTACTTTACATGTTCATGGACTAAATCAAAAGACATAGAGTGGCTGAATGGATAGATAAACAAGACCCATCTACATACTGCCTATAAGAAACTCACTTTAGATGTAAGAACACACACAGACTGAAAGTGAATGGCTGGAAAAGTTGTTTCACACAAATGGAAACCAAAAGAAAGTTGGGGTATCTATACTCAGATAAAATAGACTTTAAAACAAAGATGGTGGGCTTCCCTGGTAGCACAGTGGTTAAGAATGCGCCTGCCAATGCAGGGGACACAGGTTCGCGCCCTGGTCCAGGAGGATCCCACATGCTGCAGAGCAGCTAAGCCCATGCACCACAGCTACTGAAGCCTGCACACCTGGAGCCTGTGCTCCACAACAGGAGAAGCCACTGCAATGAGAAGCCTGCACA